AACTTAATGGTAAAAATAATGAATTGATTTTTGAATCATGTGAAATGAATAAATTCTATTAAAATGTAAATCAGATAAAACACCAATATTTAATATGTTGTATAATATATATCATCATTATACTTTATAATGCTATAATTATAAACATAGCTCATGAAATACTTAAAGTTAAATAAGAAGTCCATTCTATTCCTACATTTGAAAGAGTGAACACCTCATGTTCTCCAACTGAGAACGAGTAGCACATAAAACCTACCTCTATACTTAAATGCCAAAACGTATGCACACGACAGAGATGTGATTAGATTAAAAATAACATCAGCATTAGCATTTTGGAGAGTAATGTCTCAGTGGCTACAACATAATTATCATTTGATTGGGTAATAAATGTATATACCCATCATCTTTCCATCATTATTAGTTAAATGATGCTCATTAAAGTAACCCTAAATGACATTTCCCCTTTTCAATTACCTTTCACCTGTATATCAATTATTTAAATGGCTCCTTCATGGCATTTAGCCAGCTCCCTCCATCCAACCTTACCATCTGTTTATTCCACCTTTCACCTGTTTATTCCAGCTATGCATCTTTACTTATGAGCACACTTATCTTGCAGTTAGATCTTCTTTTCATTTTTAAAAAACCGTCCAATAGATCAGCCCCACTTTCACTCTGGTTATTATTTCCATTTGGTTCTTATCTTCACTGTACAGCCACCTCTTCCAAAACACACCTCTCAGATATATCCTTTGTGAGAGACTTAATCTCTTCCAGGCTCTCCTTACTCACACCAAGTGACTCCCAGCACATTTATGTTTGCTTTATGCGGATGTACCAGGATTCCTTACACACATCTTCTCTGCCCTGATCACTGATGCTCTCTGGTTCCACATCTCCATGCCCTTTTAGTGCAGAGGGATCACACCCATGTAGGAAGGCTACATTTTTTCAGAAACTCTGAAGGTTGGAGAGTTTAGGAAAGTCAGAGAGTCAGGCCAGCCTTCAGTGTCAAGGTAACAAGCATGCTGGCCTATGGCCATCTCTGGTCAGGAGGATTATTTGTATCGGGCCATTACTTGCTACCACAGTTCAGCAACTTACACATTCTAGTCACATAACAGCCTTTAGAAAACTACATGCTGAGGGTAGTATACTGCACTGACTACAAATATTTTGTACCTCCTTCCATCAGCAAGTGGGATTACTCTACACCTTGAATCTGGGCTGGCCTGGTGATTTGCTTTGACCAATGGAATAGGATGGATGTGATACTATTGAAGTTGAGACTAAACCTCAAAAGGCCTTGCATCTTCCACTCCTGCTCCTTGTAATGCCACTGTCACATGAACAACCTCAGCTAGTCACCTTGAGGACCACACACCAGGTGGTCAGCCAGTCCAGCTGAGGCCCCAGACGTGTATGTGAGCCCAGCCAACACCATGTGGAACAGGGATAAGTTGGACGAGCTAAGCCCAGCCTAGACTGCCAATCTACAGAATCAAATAGCCAAAAACTATAGTGGAAACAAACTGAAAGTCTAAAATAGGGTTTTATGTACATGAATTACAGTATTGAGAAGCTATGTAGCTCTACCCTTTATAAGCTTGTGACCCCGGGCAAGCTTTAAAACTTCTTCCCTTATAGAATAGAGATTACGGCCTTATAGAATTGATCTGGGGATGCAATAAAAAACTTAAAACTTAAATCAGTGCCTAGCTCATCATAAATATCCAAACTGTTATTAGTTATACATAGCTATTAAAATCATGTTATAAAAAATTTAACAGCATAGGAAAGGTCCATGATATTGTCAACTGAAAAGAATACTACAAAGTTGCATTTATAATTATAAACCTTCATTTACCAAAATGCTACTCTATATGTATATCTAGGAATAGAACAGCACTATCTTCCCAGCAGTAGTCTCTGGGTAGTAGGAACATTTTTATATTTTCATTGTTTTTCTGTAGTTTCAACATTTCCTATAACAAAAATGTATTGGCTCTATAATTGGAAAAAATATTATTTCAAAAAAATTAAATGTTATATCTATAGACCAGCTAATTAATATCTTTCAGCTCCTTAAAAGCATTATGGAAACTTTTACGAAACAGTTACAGGCTTTGCACCTCATACTACGCTATCACTGCTCTTTCTGTTTTAGCCAAGTAGAGAAAAAAGATACGGAGAGTCAGAAAGAATGCCCATTAACCCGAAAAACTTAAATACTAGACAAAAAAATTAAGACCATCCCTTTGATTGGTTCTACAGTGCCCCAGGGTGTCACTCATCTTTTCTGCTTAGGCTACTGTCTCCCATCCTGACCCTGCTGTTCTTCACTAAACCAGCACCTATTTGTCTCAGTTTAAATGTCACTTCCTCAGAGAGGCCTTCCAGGTTTCCCTAGTCATAATTGGCTTTTCAAACTTAACTTGGGTTCCCCTATATAATATCCAGTAATTCACCCATGTTACTACATATAATTGAGCTTTCTCTTTGCCATTGCCATTCTACCTGACTGCAAAGAAAAAGAATGATTGAGACAGTTAACTTCAAGTAAAAGCCTCCTCTTTTACCTTTAACAATATAAGGAAGTGAAAAATGAGGGTCTGTATGCATATGTAGAAAATGCTTCCTATTCATTTTACCTTCTTAAAAGGTAAAAAATGAACAATCCCCAGCTCCAAAATACATATCCTTAAAAAACATTTAGAGAATAGTTTTAAAGTATAGTAATGTAACAGAACAGCTATAAATTAATTGATAAACTTATTATAAGTTTGAGGGAAAATAGTTTATAATTTATTTCTATATTTCAGTTACCAGCATAATTTGCTGTTTTTGCTTTTCTATAGTATAGTGAAATTTCTTATAGGGAATATTTAGAAGAAATACTTGCCTGCATTTACATAATCTACTTAAGAGTACACCAAGCAAGTTTTAGGGTTACTTTTACACTTTAATCATGCATTACTGGTATTTTGGCTACTAAAGATGAAGCTCAATATATGTAGGTTAAATCACTACTGAAAAATGATGTACGTCGATATTGTATTAAGAATGAAACAATTATGAATTATGCCCATGTAGGGTTGTGTAATATAATGAAACAACTAATAGTTATATACTCTTAACTATATTAAAAATAAAAATGTTTAGCATTTTTTTATTCACCTGACAATGGATGTCAAGTTCCTACTTACACAGTTCTGTATAAAGTAACAGTATTCCCTCACCCCCACCACAACCCACCCATAATCTTGAAAATCAGGTTACTCTTAAAGTGAAAATGAAAAGACTTCTTAGCCATTGAAGAAACCCACCCAAAGACATTGTCTCTAAATGTGTATAAATACCTAGGAACACTCAGGCCCAATCAATGTCTCCAGCAAACATCATCAAATCTACACTAATAAAAGACAAACATGCAAATTGACCATACCTTTGCTATGCCTGAAGCCACGCGCACCAGCCAATCAGAGCAACTATATGCAAATTAACCCAACTAAGATGGCGGCCAGCAGCCACGGAGCTGGAGCAAGCAGGAGGCTTGATTGCCTCAATGATGGAAGAAGTTAAGCTTCCCACTTGCCGCATCCCTGGCTCTGAGCTCCACTCAAAGCAACAAAGTTTCAATTATAGAAGGTAAATAAACCCCAGATACTTGCTTTCAGCTGGCCATGGCCACAAGCTGGAGTGAGCAGGAGGCTTCCCTCCTGCCTGCCCTGGCCGGCTCTGAGCTCCTCTCAAAGCTACAAAGTTTCAATTATAGAAGGTAAATAAATCCCAGAATAAAAAAAGAAAAAGGAAAAAAGGAGAGGCTGGGAGCTTCTGTCGCCGGGGGGCTTGGCCAGCCTGAAAATGGCCCTCAGCCCCTCACCCAGATGTACGTACCCCAGTGGGGACCCCCACCCAGAAGTGGGTGTGACCAGCCTGTAAACAGCCATCAGCCCCTCACCCAGGCTGGCCAAGCACCCCAGCAGGACCCCACCCTGATCCGGGAAAGCCTTCAGGGCAAACCAGCTGGCCCCCACCCATGCACTATCTGCTCAGCCACAAACCAGGCTGACGGCTGCCAATACACCGGTGGTGGTAGGAGCCTCTCCCGCCTCCTCAGCAGTGCTAAGGATGTCCAACTGCAGCTTAAGCCTGCTCCCCGTTGGCAAGTGGACATCCCCTGAGGGCTCCCGGGCTGCCAGAGTGATGTCTGACTGCCATCTTAGGCCCAATTCCCCAGGGAGCAGGCCTAAACCAGCCGGTGGTCATCCCCCAAGGGGTCCCAGACTGTGAGAGGGCTGAGGGACCCCCCCGAGTGCACAAATTTTTGTGCACCGGGCCTCTAGTATAAAAGATAACTAAAGTCTAATATATTGTCTGCTAAATCAGGTTCTCAAGAAGTAAGAGAAGGAAGATAATTTATGTGTGGATTCTGGAAAGAGGAGCCCAAAGCATACAATCTCTGAGCTCCATGAAATAAATGATCTTTTACTGTGTTTATGTCACTTACCCGTCAGTACCAAAATGAGTGAGCAGTAAACCTGCAGATGTTTAGTCCTGCAGATGTTTAGTGGTGTCATAACAAAGCATCTCAAGGAGACTCAATTTAGCATCCACTGCCTACTGGAATGCTGAGAGTGGCAGAGGAAATGTAGCAGCCAGAGAAAACGTATGCATAAACTACTCAGGTTGGAGAGGAAAGGAGTTTCAATATCACAAAACCAGGCACAATATATTTTAGAACACATGCTGAAGAAAAGCAAAAGCTATAGAAAATAAAGCCTGCAATTCAACAAATAGGTAAGCAAAATATAGGACCAAGCTACAAACAGGAGGACTCGGGGGCCAAATCCCATCTGCAGAAGTATTTGGCTTGTACATAGTTTGAGAATACTAATACTAATACTAATACTAATACTAATACTAATAATAATGGCAAATTAGTTGAAAATGTTTAAATTTTAAAAATTTCACATGAGAACTTGCATTTCCTGCTTTACCTGATAAACTGGACAAAGTGGCATCACTAGGTTAACATTCCTGCCTTGCAACAATTATCTGGACCAGAGCAGCGGCTGCTCCTTCGGAAAGAACTTGGGGGCTCTCCAGGTCACTGCTGTGGCTTCCTGCTTCATTCCCACCAGACTGGCCTCTGTAGGCACTTGGGTTTCCAAACTCTGGAACAGAAAGGACCTTGAGGTAAGGCTTGAAAGACTCACTTTAGCCCTTGACAAGAGGTATAACTTTTTTTTCCAATGGCAATTTAACCTTCACGTCATAGTTTCTTCACAAGGATAAGGATGAACTAGTGGATCATCAGGCATTACTCTATGTGCTGGAGCACCAGCAAGCCAGCTAGAACCACAAGCACACTTTAACTTTCTTAATGAAACCAAGTTGACCCTCAGACAGTGATGATTCTTCAATTAGAGGAAATAGAGGGGACAGAAAACTTGTCCAACTTCAATGCTCCATTTTTCCTTCTTTCTTAGCACCATCATCAGCAAAACCACATTATCATTAACTTAGGAACTCATCTTGTGATCAAAGAATTAAGGAACCAAAATGTACATCACCATTATTAAGAGTTAGAAAATGTCACTGTTTTATTTTCTGACTTTTAAAATTATTTTCTTTTAGCAAATAAAAAATAATTTTGTTAAGGGCTTTCAAAAGTGTGCGTGAGACCTTGCTACCCCTTAGTCTGTTATCTCTGGTCAGCCATCAGGGACACACTGACAAGCTCCTCCTCAGTCTGGGTAAAATAATCCTTGCGACAGTCTAACT